TTGATTATTATAATTCTGTGAGTTGTTAATATTAGGGGAAGGTGAGTGAAAAACGTATGTGAACCCTCTGCATCGTTTTTGCAACTTTTCTGTAAGTCTAAAATCATTTCAAAATGAAAAGTTAAAAGAAAAAAGTTTAAAATGATCTGTCTCTGCATATTCAAGGATTCTCAATCATTTTCATCTTTTTGGAGATCAACCAGCTCTTGGATGAAAAGTATGTAGCATCTGTCCTAAAGAGCCTCCAGTCCACTACATAGTTTAGACACTTGTACCCCAAACCTTATGTTGAAATTTGATCCCCAGTGTTGGAAGTGGTGCCTAACAGGAAGTGTTTGGGTCATGAGGGCAGATCCCTCATGAATAGATTAGTGATGCTGTAAGGGAGTTCTCACTCTATTAGTTCCCCTAAGAATTCCCCCAAAGGCTGGCTGTTAAAAAGCGTGGCACCTCCCCGTCTCTCTTGCTTCCTCTCTCGCTGTGTGATCTCTACACACCCTTCTCCTTCACCTCCTGCCATGAGCAGAAGCAGCCTAAGGCCTCCCCAGAAGCAGATGTTAGCACCAGGCTCCTTGTACAGCCTGCAGAACCATGAGCCAAATAACCTCTTTTCTTTATAAATTACTCAGCTTCAGGCATTCCTTTATCGCCACACTAAATGGACTAAGACATCCACTTATGCCATTTCATCAGTTCGCAGACGCACATGGAGCTCATCTGCAGGCCCCATTGAAGAACCCTGCTCCAGGGTCCACAGCTCAGGACTCTGGTATGAGAGGAAGTAGCACCCAACAGTTGATCTGAGGAGGAACACCTAGCTCCCACTTCAGCCACATTCATGTCTTCAGCCTCTGGCCACGTGGAGGCCTTTCTACACAATGGGAGACAGGAATGCAGGACTTCATCCTCCTCCGCAATGTTTCCGCAAAAGGTTCATTATGAAAGTACAGCACTCACTCGCACAATACCAGGCGCATAGTCTTCTGTGAGCCGAGCAGCATCATAAATACATCCTAAAGGAGTCCTAACTGCAGCCCCACTAAGTGACACCAAACAGAGTAATCAACTCTGGGCATCAGAGCCTCTGCAGGAAATGTTAGCTTAGCCCACAGTGCTGAAAACAAATGCAAATTTGTACTAGGTGTGGGTCATCTTCTCCACCCCACACTTTCCCTCCCACTTTCTGGCTCATAAGCAACTCCGTCAAGAGGTTGAAGAAGGGCACGGCTGACTAAATGGCAGAAACAAAAAGCAAGAACAAAATCTGCCTGAAGCCTACAGAGATAGTCTCCATCAGGATGATTTTTATATGAACAGTTGTGGGAGTTAGGAGGAGACAAGAGCAACGATGCACACACTAGGCTTACAATTGCACACACTAGGTTTGCAAATCAGGTGCTAGTGAAATCAAACACAAGACACATTTGCTCAAAAGGACAAAGGCAGCTTCATAGAAAAGAAATGGCTTGTCCAAGGAGAAGCCACCATCACTTCCAGCCCTGAGAAATGGCTGGCATGTCAGGAAATGTTTGGACGGCTCTGGCCCAGGGTTCAACAACCTTTCCAAAGAATCATACTAAAGTACAGATTCCTTTATCCTGGGGGTCCAGCTGCCCAAGCTTGGCCACCAAGATGGAAGGGCCTGCAAGAAAGCTGACTTTCTCCCAAGCACTGCCCCATAATGGACAGAGTGAGAGGAGAGTGTGGCGTGGACAGAAGGCTGGCACAGTGCAGTGAGTGTGCAGAGAGCACTGAGGAAGGAGCAGCACAGACAAGGGGGACTGAAGAGGCCTGCATTTCTGATAAAGACTGGAGTAGACACAGATGGCATGATGGAAAGTGTGCTGATCAACCCCACCCCCACCAAGAAGGTGGGTTCTTATTCTACCACTCTAGACCCAGGTACAGTCATGCGTCGCATTACAAACTTTCAGTCAACGACTGGCCGTGAGTACAAAGGTGGTCCCAGAAGATTATTCCACCATATTTTTACCATGCCTTTTCTATGTTTAGATACACAAATACTTGCCATTGTTTATTACAATTACATGCAGTATTCAGTACAGTCACTAGCATAGAGTCTAAATCAGGCGTCCCCAAACTTTTTACACAGGGGGCCAGTTCACTGTCCCTCAGACCGTTGGAGGGCCGCCACATACTGTGCTCCTCTCACTGACCACCAATGAAAGAGGTGCCCCTTCCTGAAGTGCAGCGGGGGGCCAGATAAATGGCCTCAGGGGGCCGCAGTTTGGGGACGGCTGGAAACAATAGAGCCTAGTGTGTAATGGGAGGTACCATCTAGATTTGTGTAAGTACATGCTACGACGTTCACAGAGATGAAATCGCCTCACAGTGCATTTCTCAGAAGGTGTCCCCCATCGCTAAGCACCAAATGGCTGTATTTGTTCAGAACTACAGCAGCAAGTAAAGGCTTCAGCTTCCCTCGAGCTTTACAGTCTCATGGAAATTTCTAGGGCAGCCACTCCTTTCAAAGGAGCTAAAAGTCCTTTCCAAATCAATAATTCACTTCAGAGACCTGGACCCTAGAGCTTTCATTCCACAATTAGGATACAATTATCTGATTCTTTTTCCTCAAGAAAAAAAATTCTAGAAACAAAATGTACATTTTCAGGACTTTTGGTATGTACTGCCAAATGTCCAGTCAGAGCAATCATCTTAATTTACACACAGATGGACTCGTCCACTTCCCCGGTCTCCTTTGCAATCTTTGCCATTTAGTACTTGGGAGGTAATTTTTATTTGTTTGAATTGGAAATTTTATAAAATGAATAGTGAATGTACTTTTCTTTCATTTGTGTGTGTGTGAGTTGCTGTCCTTCGCTACATTTCTAATGAACTGTCTTTTTCTTATTGATTTGTATGGTGTCTTTAAGTATGACAGTTGCTAAGATTTTCCCAGCTTGTCACATGTTAACTTTATTTAGTGGTGGTTTGGCCACACCGAAGTGTTGGATTTTAATCTTCTTTATTGTTTCTGCCTTTGCTACATTGGTTAAGAAAGTCTTCCCTATGCCAAGATTATAAGATTAATCTATGTGTTCTTCTGGGCCTTTGTGGCTCTGTGTTTCCCATTTTACATTAATCCATCTGGAGGTTCTCTTGGCATGGGAATTAGATAAACATTCAACTCCCCACCGCCCCACCAATGTCTAGCCCTTGTCATAACACCATTTATTGAATTATCTGTCCTTCCCCTAATGTTTTGAAATGCCTGCAAAGTGGGAGAACTGTTCTTTGGCAATTTTTCAAATCTACACTGCCAACAATGATTTCCCTTACATCCTCACTTCACACCTTTCCTCTTGTTGAGTATTTGCCTTAAGATGCAGGTGGTGGGTGAGAATAAGCCCCATTTCGCAGTTGGGCAGTCTGTCTATAGAGACCTGGGTCTCATCAACCCCAGTCATAACAGCTTTCTCCCCAGCTTTGGGCCATTCAATGTGTCCACTTTCCTGAAACCCTGTAAGGAAGTTTATGTGGATTTATAAAAGCAATGGCAGTCCCCGCTCACAGCCATCGTTTCCCACCAGTGTTTTGTCATGTACCATCACAGCAGGATCCGAAACTTGTCCTAGTGTCCACAGCTGGTCCTGACCTCAGTGGAACCTGTGTACCAGGTGTGAAGCAGAAGACACAGCCTTAGGACTCCGAGCCTTGTCCTTTGCTGTGTGCCGCCCCCACCGCTTTCTCTCTCAGACTTGGGAGGAGTGAGGGGCGGAGCCGCCTGCCGCAGTTCAGGAGTGGGGAGCTTCTGGACAGTTTGCAGCACACACTCTGGGACCTGGCTGTGTGACACTCCTGACCCCCATGGGAGGGAAGTGGTGTTTGTTTTCTCCACTAGACTACCAGCTCCCTCCTTACTCCTCCCTAGGAGCACAGAGTGTGTCTTGTTCACATTCGTGTCCCCAGTGTCAACATTTAAAATGTGTTCAATGGATAAATGTTGAAAGAAATTCAGAAATGATGTGCAATATAGTAACAGCTAACATTTAGAAACCAACGTATTACTTACATGACACTTTTGCATATTGAGTGAAAATAAGTTGTTTGGTTTAACCAATGTGTGGCTTTGGGGTAGAGGACAAAGACATAGCAAGAGAAAGCATTCTTTATGAGTCCTTCACTCAAGAGGAAGGACACCTCTATGGAGAGGAGCTCCAGAGGCAGGGACCCAGGGAGACGCCCAGACAGACAGAAGGGCTCCAGTTCTTGGAAAAGTGAGTTTGAAGGAGGCTTAAGGTGTATCAGACAGCCTGGCCAGCATGGTGAAATCCCGTCTCTACAAAAAATACAAAAAAAAAAAAAAAAAAAAAATTAGCCGGGCGTGGTGGCACGGACCTGTAGTCTCAGCTACTTGAGAGGATGAGGAAGAGAATGTTTGAGCCCAAAAGGCAGAGGTTGCAGTGAGCCGAGATCGCAACCACTGCATTACAGCCAGGGAGACAGAGTGAAGGGGGGCGGGCGGGGGGCGAGGAGACGCTTTATCTGATACGTGTCCGAAAGCAACCGTGCTCCTCCCACTATCTCACGAGGACTAGACTACCTATGTTTATGTTGCTCTTCGCAGACGCTCCATGAAAGCGGGCTTCGCCTTTGTTCATGCAGGGAGCGGATCAACACATGACCTCCAAGCACCCAAGGCTTTATGAACAGATTTCTCCCCAAAACTTCTTCCTTCCGCGACGCCCTGAAAGAATTCTGGATTCCTGAGTCCTTGGCTCAGCGCCTGCTAACCCGATGCTTTCAATCGTATTTTGCTAATCTAAATGGCTGTGACTCGGCTCCCGCTCCGCGTCCGCGGACAGGTCAGCGCCGTGGGGCTCCGGACTCCCAGTCCAAGCCCAGGGGCCTGATGTTCCCACGCCCCCGGGACCCGCGGAGCCCGAGCGCAGGGTGCGCCGGAGAACTACAATTCCCACAGTGCTCTCAGGAAGCCGGGGCCGCCGAGACCCACGGCCCGCGGCGGGCGGGCTCGCGCGGAGACTCCTGGGAGTTGTAGTCCGATCCGCCGGCGCCGGCGCTGGCGCTGCTGCAGGCTCGGCGCCGGCCTTTGTCTGTCTGCGGGCGCGCGCCGCTCCGGTGAGTGAGGCCGCCGGCCGGGTCAGAGCGCCCGGGCGAGGCGGGGCTGCGCGGTCGGGCAGCAGTCCAGGGCCCTTCGTGTGGCCGACTTGGGCCAGCGGCCGCCGCGGCAATGATCAAGCCTGGAGGGCCGGGGACCCTAGGAAGGCCGCCCGCGAGCAGAGAGGTCGGCGGTCCGCGGAGCAGGGTCCCGTGGACCGCAGAGCGGGGTGCCGAGGTTCAGGACCGCAGGGCGGGTCCGGGGCCCGAGGCGGGAGGGCAGCGTCTGCGGAGAGGAGCAGGGCCCATGGGGCTGGGGCGTGGGAGTGGGGAGGCCGCAGCAGGCTCCCCGGACCTCCGTGCGGGCTTCAGCGAGGGCAGGCAGCCGGCGCCGGCCTTCTGGGGCTGCGAGGAGAGGCAGCCCCTCGCGGGGAGAGTGGGAACCCAGGCCGTGTGTGGGAAACCACGCCACGCACAAGCTCCTATGCCTGAAACTGGCCCCAAGACGTTCTCAAGACCGCCAAGTGTACCCCTCTTCTCATCGCCCTGCAGAGGACGCTGGATTTTAGGTCTTAAGTCTGGTGGTCTTGTCAGAGACCCTTCCTGTTTGATTCTTTCCTTCTCCCAGGAGCTACCTGATAGGACAGTGTTAGTAACCTGTTTAATAAGTGGGGAAACAGAGTCAGGGCTGCTGGGTTACTTGCCCAAGGTCACATCCTGGGGGAACCACGGCAAGAAGCCAAGACTTTCACGGCCTACTTCTAAGCTTTTTCCAAAGGATATAATAGCCTTTCTGATAGGAAAATCAATGTTTTTTATTATAAACCCACTTTTTACAAAAGCTTGGGATTCCTGTGACCTGTGATTCCTCAGACCTGTGATCTAGGGAGAAAAATATGACAGTGCCCCCTTACTAATCATGGAGGTCCCCGATAGACAGCGGCATTGTAACTTGAAGACCTCACAGCAGGTGGAGAGGCAGAGCTGTGAATTCTGCTCTAATTTCTGGAATCCCCAGCAAGAGTCGAACCCCAGACAGCAGGCGCCATGTACTCTTCCAGGGACTCTTAATGGGTATGCAGTCAAGCAAGAATACCTTGAACTTCCAAATGATGTGCTGGCACGCTGGTAGGGAATTCCTTTGTAGCTTGTGTTCCAAGTTGGACATGAGTCCTCCAAATAAAAGTTTAAATGACTCTCCTGGTCGTAACAGCATGTAGCAAAATGTGCAGTTGTCAAGAAGAACCAGGTGCTTAACAAATAATGGTAGCATCATACTATTATTTCATTAAATCAGAAGGCCAGCATTTTGATAGGACATATTAGAGGGAAAGAAAGAGTATGCATTGAATCACTGCATTTTTTTTTAAGTATAAGAATTCAGTAATTAGGATCCTGAAGTAAGAAGAAGTATTCAAAAAAGAAAGTCATTTGGGCCAGGTTTAGTGGCTCATGCCTAACAGTCTCAACACTTTGGGAGGCCAAGGCAGGAGGATCACCTCAGGCCAAGAGTTGGAAACCAGCTTGGGCAACATAATGCAACCCAATCTCTACGAAAAAATTTTTAAATAATTTAAAATTAGCCAGGCTTGGTGGTGCTGACCTGTAGTCCTAGCTACTTGGGATGCTGAGGTGGGAGGATCCATTGAGTCCAGGAGTTCAAAGTCACAGCAAGCTATGATTGAGCCACTGCACTCCAGCCTGGGCAACAGAGCAAAACCTTGACTCAAAAAATTTAAAAAAATTTTTTTAGATAATTCAGAGCACATACAAGAGGATTCCTAGGATAAGAAGAGTAATTCAGTCTGATCAAACTCTGTTCCTTTCTGTTCAATTTTATAAGCATTCTGACCAGCTCTTTAGTGATGGGAAACTAGACAACTATCTAATTTAAGAACATAGGCTTTGGATCCAGAAAGTCTTGGATTTGAACCTTTGCTCCACCTTGACTCCTTATTTTCTGTGGGTGTTTGGGCAAGTTACTTAATCTAATTGGAGTGCCTTGGGCTTGGTTTTTGAGTAGGTCTTTCTTTTCCAAGAATTGACAAGTATTTACACTTGGTGAGAACTGGTATTTTTACATCTTCAAGACCAAGAGAGAGGTGGGTCTGGGTCCTTAGCTGCCTAAGAATTGTTCAGTGGTACCATACGGACTCCCTTAATTCTTTATAACTATAGAGAACTGGAGAGCTGATTGGTTTCAACATGGAACCAGTCATAAAGACTGAAATGATTTTTTAGATTCTGAATTCCTCTGGGGCTTGGAGGGATGAAAGTAGTAGGTGGGGAAAGAAAATGGAAGATCCCAATCACATGCCAAGACCAAAGTGTAAACAGGAGTGACTATTGTGATTGGCAGGAAGAGACATCTGTTTATGTGTTCTCTGCTTTCCCACCAACTGCTTCTTCCCAGACTCATTTGTGTGTGGTCCTAGTACCTTTAGGCCCGTTTTACTGTGATGTTATAGGTAACTGACATGTCAGGCAATCTAGGTTTCTTAAATTCACTTATGCCTCAAACTGGAACAACTGGGGACTTTTTCCTTCTCATATGTCAATTCTCCTGCCCTTTCCTGTTTGTTTCTGTTTGTTTTTCTCCCACAGGTGCTCAGGAACAGCCCATGGAAGAATCATATGGAGAGGTGGTGACTGAGGTCATAAGCAGAAGTGGACATGTTTGGATTTCCAACAGCTACCCTGCTGGACTGTCATGGAAGATATGCCCAGAATGTAGCATTCTTCAGTGAGTGAGTCAGTCGATGGCTGGATGTGCTCAGCTCACAGATACTCAGTGTCTCTCTCCTTAGGACTGGTCAGCAGTCTGAGGAAGCAGAGGAGACCTTGCTTTGATAGACCTCACTCTTCCTAGAGTTACAAGAAAAGCCTGCACACTGGAGTTAGAACTAATAGTAAAAACGGAGCAAGAGAACCCTCTTGATATGGAGGTAGCATTGAGGTAGTCTCTGAGAATGAGTGAACAGCTTAAATCTCAGCACTGTCTCTGAATAAGGCAAGGTAACAAGGAGAAAATTACTCTGGGGTGACACCAAGAAAACTGTTAATAGTGGTGAATGGACCCACATTTAAAGTGCACCAGGAGGCTCAGATGCAGGGCAGTATTAGGAAAAAAAAGTCAGTATCTGCATAGGAAGTATATGAGAATAATATCCAAACCAAAATTGATTTCAGTTTTGCCTTGGCTTAGCAGACTGAAAATAGCAAGGATTTTAATGGGAAAAATTACTTGGATTACATTCTATAATTGCCATGGCTAGATTTGCAGTATCAGACAGGTTATTTAATTTCCTTAAGCTCCATATTCATCTGTGAAATGGGACAATAAGCTCTATCTTATAAGATTGCAGGGATTAGCAATGATAGATGTAAAGCACCCAGGATTGAGCTGCATATTTTCTGAGGTCATGGTGCTGATTCCATTGTCAGAACAGACTGGAAAGAGGTAGATTTCTGAAGAATCAAATGCAGCTTAAGTTTTGGGACCCCTCACTTGCATTGGTCTCTCCAAGACCCTGTGCTTAATTTTATACATTTTCCTAAAAGGGTGCCTTTAAAATGTGAAAGTTTTAGGCCTTATACAGCCTGGATCCAAACCTGTTTTGGAGTCAGATAGAAGTTGGATATGGGGCTCTGTATCATCCTATATAGTTTTCTACATTTTCTGAGCCTGTTTTCTGACCTGTAAAATAGAGAAAACCATGTCTTACAAGATCATTTGTTGGCCTAAATTAAGTTTAGAGGCAGTACACTGCTGTGGAGAATGCCTGTTTGAGTCAACTCTAACTTACCTAGCTCTGTGACCTTTGATAGCTTCTCTGTGTTCCCATTATTTGTATCAATCTCATGGCATTGCTTTCAGGATTGCATTGCCTATGCAAAGAATAAGGCCTGGCTCATCATAAGCACTCAAAGTATTATGATTCTTTTTCCTTTTCTCACTCAGCATGTTGGTGCCTCTTACATGACTTCCCTCTCATTTTACCAGATGTGATGACTGAAGCCCACCACAAATATGACCACTCTGAGGCTACAGGATCCTCAAGCTGGGATATCCAAAATTCTTTCAGAAGAGAGAAGCTGGAACAAAAATCACCAGATTCTAAGACACTACAGGAAGATTCACCTGGAGTGAGACAAAGGGTCTATGATTGCCAGGAGTGTGGAAAATCCTTCCGACAAAAAGGTAGTCTCACATTACATGAGAGAATCCACACTGGTCAGAAGCCTTTTGAGTGCACCCACTGTGGAAAAAGCTTCAGGGCCAAAGGCAATCTTGTTACACATCAGCGAATACACACGGGAGAGAAGCCTTATCAGTGCAAAGAGTGTGGGAAAAGCTTCAGTCAACGAGGTAGTCTGGCTGTCCATGAGAGACTCCATACTGGACAGAAACCCTACGAGTGTGCTATTTGTCAGAGAAGCTTCAGGAATCAGAGTAACCTTGCTGTTCACAGGAGAGTTCACAGTGGTGAGAAGCCCTATAGATGTGATCAGTGTGGAAAAGCCTTCAGTCAGAAAGGAAGCTTAATTGTTCACATCAGAGTCCACACGGGCCTGAAGCCCTATGCCTGTACCCAGTGCAGGAAGAGTTTCCACACAAGGGGGAATTGTATTCTGCATGGCAAAGTACACACAGGAGAGACACCCTATCTGTGTGGTCAATGTGGAAAAAGCTTCACCCAGAGAGGAAGTCTGGCCGTGCACCAGCGAAGCTGCTCACAAAGGCTCACCCTTTGACCGCTCTCTTGAAGAGAAATTCTCTTTATGAATTAAGAATACAAAATCCACTGAGATTAAACAATCTACCTAGTTCTATGGAATGAATGGAGAAACTTTCAGAAAGACCATGACTGGGTAGGGCAAATTGACTTTTCTCCTTTCCCCCAAAAGATTATGAAAAATAAATGTCTTGTTTATTATCATTATTACGTATGTTTTATAATTTCTGTCACTTTATTTTGACCTAATTTTTCAAGGTACTCCCATTAATCTGGCACCACACTAGAGATTGTTATGGATTTTTAATTTGTAGTTGACACTGTCAGCCTTTTTTAAATGTAAAAAAGCAGCCCCACATCAATATCAAGCTCTTTTTCTTCCCTTCATATTCAAATTAATCTTGTTTTACCTTCAAAACCACTGGGCAAAATCCATGGGGTGAATCTGATTACCTTTATAATCTTCTTATAGAACACTTCATTGCCTGGATGATACCCCCAATAATCTATTATAACTAACAGGTATAACACTCATGTCTATAACAAGGGGCCTAGCCTTTTACTACAAAAGAAAATTTCTTTCCAAGCCTGCAGAGCTTTAGTTTGTGCATTAAGACATACTTCAGTCCTCCACTCCTAACTGGGATAGAGATAATTCACCTATAACCAAAGAGCAGGCAACTACTGTCTGTGCAATTTTTTAAGAATCTTTACACCATTTCTCCCTATCTATTAAAGGGACTCCTACATTCTCAGAGACACAATGACCTTCTTTCCCTTTTTGGCAACAGTAGCAATATCTTGGGGTTGGGTCACCTAGAAAGGAGGTAAGTGTTCTTATTACTGAACCCAGACTTACAGTTTGTAGTCAGTAATGAACTTTTTTTACTTTCCAACAATACTATCCTCTTCTTCACTCCAACAATACCATCCTCTGCACACACACAAAGAAATTTAGAATTCTAACCCACTCTCCTAACCTCCAGGGGGTGAGATTGGAAGAAGGTTGCAGAGGAGAAATTGGTTTTGAGGGGAAATTTCCATTTCCACTTTTTAAAATCTTAGCCATCTTTATAATTTTTCATGCCGAGCATGTATGTAATTTAAATTATGGATGATACAGATTTTGCTTTTCTTGATAAGACACCGTTCCATCCTTTTTAGTACATCCTATAAACCAGTGGCCCCCAATCTTTTTGGCACCAGGGACCAGTTTCATGAAAGACAATTTTCCACAGATGGAAGGGGAAGGTGAGGGAATGGTTTGAGGATGATCCAAACACATTACATTTATTGTGTACTTCATTATCGTTAACATTGTATATAATGAAACAATTATACAACTCACCATAAGGTAGACTCAGTGGGAGTCCTGAACTTGTTTTCCTGCAACTAGACAGTCCCATCTGGGGATGATAGGAGACAGTGACAGATCATCAGGCACTAGATTCTCATAAGAAGTGCACAACCTAGATCCCTTACATGCATAGTTCACAATGGGGTTCACACTCCTATGAGAATCTAATGCCGCTGCTGATCTGACAGGAAGCAGAGCTCCTGTGGTAATGTAAGCAGTGGGCAGCAGCTGTAAATACAGATGAAGCTTCGCTTGCTCTCCCACCACTCACCTCCTGGCTGCGCAGCCCAGTTCTGTAGTATATTCATACAGTGAAATACAACTCAGCAATAAAAAAGAACATACAAGTGATACATCAACAATATGGATGAATCTGAAAGTTTTATGTTGAGTTAAAGAAGCCAAATACACAAATAGTGTAATTCCATTTATGTGACTTCACAGAACAAGAAAAACTGTGTAAGGATTGACTTGAAAGGCACACAAGGTAAGTTTACAGAGTGAAAAGAATGTTCTATACCTCACATCAGGCAATAGATGCATGGGTCTAAACAATTACCAATATTCATTGAACTCAGTGCTTAAGATCTGAGTATTTTATTATATACTGAGATATACTTCAGTAACCATGAGGCAGTATAAATGTATTGCCCACAAGCTCTTTGACATTCATCCCATGAAGAGATGGGGGCTGTGTCACTACCACTTGAATCTGGACAGGCTCATGACTGCTTCAAACAGTAGAACACAACAGAAGTGAAACTACACCACGTATTAGTTCTGAAAAGCCCTTAAAAGGCCTGAAAATTTTCTGGCTGGTTCTCTTGAGACGCTTCCTCTCAGGGGAAACTATATATAAAAAGTCCAACTATCCTGAAATCACTATAATGGAGAAGCTGCATATAAATGCTCCAGCCAACAGTTTCAGCTGAGCTCCCAACAGCTCGCCAGCCACGTGTGAGGGTCATTGTAGGTTTCTGGCCCAATAGAACCCTCATATGACTACAGCCCCAGCTGACATCCGGCCAAAACTGCATGAGAGACCCCAAAGTGAAACTGCCTTACCTAATTCCTGACAAACAAAATCATGAGAAATATGAAACATTATGGTTGGATACCACTAAATTTTCAGGTTATTTGTTATGCAGCAGTAATAGAATAAAATTTATATGTAGATGAAGTCTGGGGAAGCAACTTGATATTACCTCACTGGCTAAATCAAAATAGAAAATTATGATTTATGACTCACCAGAAAGCTTAAGGTTTTAAAAATAAACATTCGCTTTGACAAAATAAGAGGTATGATATAGATTAGTTAACTGAGATCTAATCCAAGTTCTAAAATGAAGAAGTAGATGCTGGACTCCAGCAGTATGGCACTAACCACTGCACTCCAGCGTGGGCAACAGAGTGAGACTCAGGTCTCAAGAAAAAAATGTAAAAATATGTGCCCATATGTATATTTATACTTTCAGAATCTCAAAAATATATGTGTATATATATGTATACATAGACAGAGAATGCTATATATACATATATAATCTTAGGATCATAGTTCTGCAAAAAGGAATAAGTAAGTAATAAAGAATAAAGAGGTCAGAAAATATATCATTGGCCACTGGTGATCAACTAAACCTTCAGCCCCTCTTCCCTTCCTGTGGTAGGCGGGTGCTGAAAGTTCCAATCTTTATGGTGACCAGCCCCATCCTGAAACTACCTAGGGGCCCCTGGCCATAGTCTTCTCATTAGCATAAAAAAGACACTCTTGGCCGCCATGGTGGCTCATGCCTATAATCCCAGCACTTTGGGAGGCCAAGGCAGGTGGATCACCTGAGGTCAGGAGTTAGAGACCAGCCTGGCCAATATGGTGAAACCCCTCTCTACTAAAAATACAAAAAGTAGGCAGTAGTGGTGGTGTGTGCCTGTAACTCCAGCTAGTAGGGAGGCTGAAGCAAGAGAATTGCTCGAACCCAGGAGGGTTCTCCACCTCTTACATGGACATCAGTCACACTGGATTAAGGGCCCACCCTATGCCACCGCTATGGCATCATCCTAACTAATTACATCTGCAAAGACCCTATTTCCAAACAGGACATGGCCTGAGGAACTGGCAGTTAGGAAACGTATCTTTTTGGAGGACAGAATTGAACTCACAACACTTGGGGTGTATTCTCCACAGTATCAAAAACATTGTTCTGCAGAAATATGTATAAACCCAACCTAGTGGTTCCTGAGGACATCAGCATCAACTGGGAGCTTATAGGAAATGCAAATCCTCAGGCCCTGACCCAGAACTACTGACCCAGAAACTGCAGAGATGGGGGAGAAGGGAGGGAGAGACAGCACTCTGTTTTAACAAGCCTACCACCCATTCTTCTTACCAGCTACACAGTTTGACTCTGAACTCTATCAGACTCTAGGCTGACCTAAAACTCCCTTCAGGGCAATGAGAAGAGCAGGAAGAAAATTCCAAGCAGCAGGTGGCCTGGGCTACCCTACTCCTTACACAGGGCATTGAGACAGTGCATGTCTGTCCTCCTTTTCCACGTGGAGCTCCTTGGTGTAGGGCTTCCATTCAAGAATCAATGCCACAATAAACTAGAAAAGTCAACAAGAATGAATAAATACATGGTTTCTTACCTAATTTTGACATTAACTCACAGGGAGGAGCACAGACGGGTCAACCGTGCCAAAAAAGCTCCACACAAGCAAACTCAAACGAACACCTTCATTTTCCCTTTTATCGTGGGCACAGGTCTCTCCCAAAGGCCCTTCCACACCATCCACCAAGTCTAGTTCACCAGAACACCTGTAGCCCTACCCTGATTCTGTTTACTTCACTTGCATTTGGGGTCATTATATGATGTCATTGCCATAGGGTCAGGGACTTAGTGACAACAGAATGCACAATCCAGCCATGACCAAGGCTTGTGTTTCTGCAGTGCTGAATCCCACCTTACTCTTACAGAGCCTCATTGCTTTGACTAAAGAATGCAGATCACTCCACAATTCTGCTTGCTTTCTAATTTGTATCTCTTCCCAGTAGTTCTGGTCAGCCTGCCTTGTTTTTCCTGATTTTTACCAATTATGCTCCTTTCATGTTTTCAGGCCACTAACCTGCCTAGCTTTGCCATAGTCTGAGATGGCAACTGTAATCCATACATCTCATTTAATACAAGCTACAGATGTACTGGAAAAACTTGTTTAGCAATTACCATAACCTGTCAGGAAGTTTCTTCGGGTTTTGCCAGTACAAACATCTCCTATAATCCTGATTATAGCCTATTGTGACCCTGTCTCTGCTTGCTTCAAGACACTATGCTCTCCCTCCCTCTTAACTCCAATGTTGAGTCTCTTGTAAGCTATTGTACACATTTCTCCTCATTGCAGCAGTCATCCATCACCTGGGTCGCTCCTTGAAGATTTTAGTTCCTATATCATTATCATTCACTCCAGTTCTACTGTCATAACACTTGGAGTGCTTATAAATGACTCATCACTTTTCCTACTTACTTCCAATGATCTTCCTCTCCATAGGACCAGAGCCACTCACCTCCATCCATGATCATATTTGTAACTTTTGCATTATCAATCCAAAAATAGTCTCAACTTCAATCACCTCATTTTCTGATTATCAGCTCCTGTGTTTTCATCTCACTTCCTCTAGTGAATAAATTGTCAATAAATTGTCAGCTGCAGCCGGGCGCAGTGGCTCAAGCCTGTAATCCCAGCACTTTGGGAGGCTGAGGCGAGTGGATCACGAGGTCAAGAGATCAAGACCATCCTGGTCAACATGGTGAAACCCCGTCTCTACTAAAGATACAAAAAATTAGCTGGGCATGGTGGCACGT